CCTTGTCCTCCAGCTCACAGATTTGTTCCTCAGCTTCATCTAGCCTGCTTTTGATTCCTTCTACTGTGTTCTTCAATTCAGAAAGTGTATTCTTCATTTCTTCTTGTCTCTTAGTGATAGTTTCTATGTCTTTTTTCATGCTGATATAGTTTGCAGTAAGTTCGTCGTAGTTTCCCTGTAGTTTTTGGTAATTCTCCCTGAGCTCACTGAGCTCATTGAGCTTCCTTAGAACTGTTGTTTTGAACTCAGTATCTGACAGTTTACTTGTCTCTATTTCATTTAGTTCTCTCCGTGGGGATTCCTCCTTTCCCTTAGAGTGGGGCATATTTCTTTTTCTTCCCATTATTTGTGAGACTTTTCTCTTTTGCTTCTGCTTCTTAAGTTGATCTGTCTTGATTTCCTGACTTTGCGGCGTGAACTTCTATGGTTGGAGACTGCTGTTTTTACTTTCTGGATCTGCCTCTGATGATATCAGATGTCATCCCTGTCTGACCTTAGGCAGTCTGTTTGAGACTTCCAGGAATCTGCTATCTGTGGCTGTCTCCTTCACCTGTTACTCTATTCACTCTGCACTCAGCAGGCCACCTTAGACAGCTCAGGGCGGGGTGGAGTCCCTCCTGGGGGCGGGGTTATTGGGTCCTCTCTAGCTGCAGCTGTATGGGGGAGGACTCCGCACTGGGATCCTGCCAGCTACTCTCTCCATTATCTCCCCAGAGCCTCCATCTCCAGTCTCTCCTCAAGTGTCACCAGACCTCTGTGCGCCCCCTTTAGTGGGGGATCTACTATCTTTGGCTGCCACTCTGCACTCAGCAGGCAGCTTAGACAGCAGAGGGTGGAGTGGAATCCCTCCTGGGAGTGGGGCTATTGGGTCCTTTGATGCTGGTGCTGCTCAGGGAGAGCGGTCTCTGTCAGACCAAGATGGCTGCTGCCACATGGGGGATGAGTCAACACTGAGATTCCCGCTGGCTACTCTCTCAGTTCTCTCCCCAAAGCCTCCTTCCCCAATCTCTCCTCAGGTATCTCTAGCCCACTCTGTCCCTGACTTTGCCAGAGACCAGGGTAAGTGCCTGCAAATAAAAATTTATGCATTGGCCCTTAAAACTGTTCTTTGCATCTCCAGCTGCCTGTCTGTGGCAGAGAGCAACTGTGCCGCTTTTCGCGGCTGGGTGTTTTCTGTGTACTTTTGGGCTCTGGTGCTGTGGTCTAGAGATCCCTGCTTTTGATTTAGACCCCGCTCTTCTCAGGGGGTATCCAACCAGCCGTTTCAATATCCTCCTGGTGCTGCCACCCATGGACGCCCCGCCCACCTTCTCAGGTCTCTACCGTACTCCTTACCAGTTATGTTGTGCTAAAGCCGATTCTTCTGTCTCCGAGGTTACAAGGCTCCTCTCTCACTATTGTTCAGTTGTTTGTTCCAGGTCATTTCTCCCCAATTTAGTTGTAATTCCAATTTGGTCCTCGGAGGAGGTCATTGTGACTTCCACTGACTTCTCCGCCATCTTAATTCTCCTTAACTTTAATAATCAATAATAGTTGTATATATCTCTCCATGCTATTACATCTACTACAACATCAAGAATCTTGACATTAATAGTCAAGAGTGTCTTTCTGTTAGATATACCAAATCTATTAAAATTTTTAGATATTCAGATTATTGCCAATCTTTTGCTGTATTATAAATGCCACTTTGAATTTATAGCTAAATTTTTACATGCATCATTTATAATATTCTTAAAACAATCTGCTATCAGTGCAATGACTAGGTCAAAGTGTATGCACAAATATTAGGGTTTTGGCATGTACTGACAAATTGCTCCCCAGAAATGTTATGCCCATCTGCCACCCCTCCAACCCTAGCAGTGTGGGAAACTGCCTAGCTCAGTGTACTCTTTGCGATGTTGGGGAAGCATATCCAGTAAGTGCATGAAGTTTGGAATCAGACAGTTTTACCACTTGGTAACTCTGTGGCCTTATGCAAATTACTTTAACTTGTCTGAATCTGTATTTTTCTCTCTGGGTTCATGTGAGGATCAAATAAGACCATGTATGCAGAGTGTTAAGCAAAGAGTCTGCTCCAAAGTAAGTTCTCAATAAACTAAAGCTGTTCTAGATTTATATTCGTTCCTTCCCATCTCTGATGTATTCTTCCCTGGGAATGGACACATACTGAGCACAGGCTTCTGAAATCTCTTTTTTAATAGTTTGCTTTTTTATTTCTTTTATTTGAATTTTTAAATTTCTTTATGTTTTATAGTTGTCCCAATTTTCCCCCCTTAGCCACCCTTTGCCCAGCCTGCCGCTTACTTCTATAGTTAATCCCCACCCCATTGTCCATGTCCATGGGGCCTTAATATATGTTCCTGGACTAATCCCTTCATGAAATATCTTTTAGAGGAAGTATCTACTTGATCATCCATGTCAGCCCTGAAGTGCTGCTGCTGTGGGCTTTTCTGCTCAGTCGTTTCTTCCCCTCCCTTCTTGGCACTGGCTGACTGAAGACATGGAGGGCCCCAGGCCTCATACATTACCATTTTGCTTTTTCCTGGGTAAATTACATGGAGTGTTGCAGACTAGGAAAGAAACCTATGCATGTGAGCTCAGACTGGGTTTATAAGCCAAAACAATGATTAATAAAAATAACAGCAACAGTTATCAGTTATTGAGTGCCTATTATGTGCCAGGTGCTATACCAAGTCCTTTATATTGGTTGTCTCATTTAATTTTACAACAATCCTGAAAGGTTCAGAAGTGGCAGGGGGTGTGCTCAGTGTCACACAGCTAGGAAGAAGCAGAGCTGGGATTAGACTCCAAGTCGCCTGACATCAAAGTCTGTGCTCTTAACCACGCTTTGCATGCTGCTCTCCTCAGTGTAGATTTATTGAGGAAGTATGTGTATGCATGTGTTTCAGAATGGGTACATGTTTGTGCATGCATGTGTACATGTATGTATAAACATGTATGCACAGTTCAGTGCATGCATGCATGTGTGCATTCATTATAATAATATTTAGTCAGGGCCTACGATGGGCCAGACACTGTGTAAGTGCCTGAAGATATGGTAGTGAACAAAAGAAAAATGATCTCAGTTCTCTCAAATTTTACTGGCTACTGGGGAAGGCCAATAATGAATGAACAAGTGAACAAATGAGTGAGTGAATGAATACAGGAAGAAATTACAGATTAGGATTATCGTAGTGGAGGAAATAAACAAAGCATAGTCACAGACAGCAGCAGGATAACAAGCTTTAGATTGGAGGTTCAGGGAGATCCTTTCTGAGGGGGCAACGTTTAAGTTTGTGTCCGAAAACTAGTCTGGAATAGGGGAGCAGGGCTACCATGCAAGACTAGAGTCCTCTTGGGTGGAAACAAAGTCTTCAGTATCTAGAGATGCTTTCTAGAGTGTTCTGGGACTCTCAGAAGTATATGTAGGAAGGTGTGGGAAGTGTCTCTGGGTTTGCTTAGGAGTCAGGATAATAGCTTGCCAGTTTCACCCTAAAAAGGGAGAGTACAAAATGGAGACTAGCACTTTCTGAACAGGACCTTGTCTTAATACCAGAGACCTCAGGAATTCTAGAGGCATGGATTGGACTAAGAGGCAGGGTCTTCATGCTCAGAGTTGGAGTATATGGAATGGAATCTTGTATTCCTACTGAAAGGAAAATTCAGCCTGCCCCAAGTATCCAAGAACTAAAGTGTTCCTTACCTGTTCTCCATTCATTAATGTAGTTTGAGGTTTGAGAAGGCAGCAGTCTTTTCTGGGGCCCCCTCTCTCATCTCCAGAGGTAACTAAGAGGAGAAACTTGGATAAGAAAGTGTTATCAGGGCCACTTCTAGTAGCAGCAGCAACCTTGGGCCAGTCCAGGCTGTCGTTTAGGATACCTTCATCAGTTCACAGAGTGGATGAGTGTGGTTGCTGGAGCAGTTGGCCTAAGAATCCTGAGAAAGAGTGGCTCACCACAGTTCAGGGTCTCCACTCCACGGGATGCCAAAACTCAAGCATGGTGTGGAAAGGTGGCTTTTGCCAGACCACCCAAGGCCCACTATTCAGTTGCTGTGAATTTGGGATTGGGACACTGTGTCTCTCCCCTCAGGCTCCCATCCAAACTGCTCTGGTGCACTCAGTGACAAAATGGGACCTTGGTCAGTGGCACACCACACACTCCCCTTAACATTTCTGAAAGGGAAGCAGTTCAAAGAAATACTGAAAACACATTGGGACCCTGTATTCAGTGCCTAGGTCATATGTAGGAGATCTGTAAGGCCAGTTCAGATGGAAACTGCCCAATTGTCAGAGGCTACACATTGTTTCTAATTTGTGCTGAGGACATGTAGTACCCTTACTGAATATGAAACACAGACAATGGTTCTACTTAGTCAGCTTAATCACTCTATTTGTGCTATGCAGTGCCCTGAATTGCTACTGGTCTGCAGATATCAATTTTCAAAAATAGCATTCATCCCCAGGAACAAATCTTAATATATGTTTCCTTGCCCTTGATTTCATTAAAAGAGGCCAGCCATTACCTGTTGCTCATTGTAAATGATGTTAAATGTTGGACAGAGACCTGTGTCATGTAAGTTAGGGCTTTTTTTTCCTCTCTGGATGTTATGATGAGCGATTTTTTAAAAACCTTTTCTACATTTTTCTTCTTTAAAGATTTTATTTATTTTACTTTTAGAGAGAGGAGAATGAAGGGAGAAAGAGAGGAAGAGAAACAGCAACATGCAAGAGATATATCAATTGGTTGCCTCTCACATGCCTCCAACTGGGGACCTGGCCCGCTACCCAGGCATGTGCCATGACTGGGAATCGAACCAGCAAACTTTTGGTTCCTTTCAGTTTGCAGGCCAGCACTTAATTCACTGAGCCACACCAGCCAGGGCTACATTTTTTCAAATTAAAAAATATAGTATGTATTAACCAGAAAAAAAATAAGTTACTTCCACTTTGGTAATAATAAATAAGCACCTAACACATGTTCTAAATCTTTTCTTCCCAGATACTGACATGCCTCCAAATCCTTGGCGTTTCTCTTCTCCATGGACAAAGCCACAGCCAGAAGCATCTTTTGCAAATGGTGCCACCGACTGCAGCATGAATGAGTTTGGGCCCATGGCTATGACTCAGTACCCAGTGCCCCTGCCTGGGAGTCCCTCTGCTCAGACTGGTGAGCTGTGGCATTTTTCTTCCCCAGCCAGTGCTAACTCCCCGGAGCCTGAATACCCTTGTGCCTTCTCCTCTGAGTACCTAGTTCCAGAGGCCCAGCGTAATGAGAAACATGAGTCTCTCCTAAATCTTCTCCATCAAGAGAGATATACAGCCCAACCTCAGCAATCTGCCATGTGGGAGAATTGCAACTCTGCCCATGCAGCCGGAAGCAGAGGATATCCCTTCAACCAGCCTTCCAACTCAGCCCACAGTAAGTAAATGCCTCCAGACCCCTGGAGGCATGCCTCTAATTGATTGGGGTTGAGAGTGAGTTGGCATAAGGTGGGGTGTGAAGACTAATTGCTGCCAGTCTGGACATGGGGCTTCTGAGGGACAGGATGTTCTGCTTAAATCTGTTTGTATCTTCACTAGGCTTCACTGATATTCATGGTTTGATGAATCAAGGGTTACACAGAGAGCCAGCCAGGTGAACTTGGTTGAGAATATTCACACAGTTGTTGACTTGGTCTTATCCTAGAAAAATGATGAGCTGCTGCCTAAAATTGTAGGGTCTGCATTCACCTCACTGTGAGCCACCAACTAATCCATTTATAAAACAACTCTGGGGCATACTTACAAGCTCAAACTCTATCCTCCAAACAGGTTGGCAACTTGCAATGATGCCAGGCTCCTGGGCAAAAACAAGGGCAATCTATATAGCCATCTCCTCCACTAATTAAAATTCAAAGCAACTGTAGAGGCAACCCCATTGCTGCATGGAGACTGTCACAGTGCCTGACTGTATGTGGCTCGCGCCTGTGCACTGGGCTCCTCCTGCTTGGTTTTCCTTGGGTTCCTGTTCCGTGATCATTACTCCTCCCACTGAACTAAAACACTTCTTCATTTACTCATTCACTCAACAAATATTTAATTGGTGCCTACTAGATGCAAAATACCCATAAAAAAAACAGGACTCCCTTCTTTGTAAAAAGATAGGGGAAGATTTGTTCTGAGGTATAGTTTCACCAAAAAAGTAACCCACTCTACTACAAGATTTGCCTTTCACAAGAAATACTGGTAATTATATATATTTTATAGTTTCATGGGGCCAAGTCTGCATCCTCTGGCATTCTGCACTTTGAGTAAACTTTCTTTTATAGCTCCCTAGTTGATACATAGCTGGGGGTCTAGTGTCCCATGCCTGAGAGAAATTGCTAGAAGCTACCTTTACTCTGAACTAAGTATATTGTATACAAAGGGCCTGTTCAGCATAGCCTCCATAAGTCAAGCACTGTGTTCCATCCTAATGTTGAAAAAAATTCGATTAAAATAACAGTCTATCATTTGCAGAGTTTGATTAGGAAGGTACTTAAAAAGAGTGAATTATTAAAATGTCATGCTTGGGAAACCTATGAAAATCCCCACCCTGTACTCTGTCAAAAATCTGTTCCTACTCTATTTAGAGGGAAAATTTGGCCAACTGTGTTTGTGTATATGCCTGTGCATACACACAGCAGAGCTCTGTTTCAACAGTTGGTTAGAATGCAGATGGTCCAGATTATTGCCTCCCAAACATAACTCTATACAGTTTAAGTCCAATTCATCAAAAACTTAGTGAATATCTACTATATGCCAGGCACATCATGGCAAAACTATAATGCAGGCATTGTTCTAGTGCCCTAACCTCTAGACACATTCTCAAATGTGTATCACCAGAGTCTTTACTGCTGCAAACTTTTCACACTTTTCTACTAATGTTGATGTTAGCTGAATTATTTGGTGACTGATGGTTCCTGATCTGTTGAGGAAGTTAGCAACCTTTAATCAGAAACACTGCCTAGAAGGTGGGGAAAAGGCCCAGGTGGCTTAAAAACGAAGTTATGTGTTTTTGTAGTATCTAAGAAGAACTATGCCAGGTGCTCATAAATTGAGGGGCAGGTGATTTGGGGGACCTGGAGTAAAACTGGGCACTTTCTAACCCAGTCCTAGAGATTTCATTTTCAATCATATTTTTATTTTCTAGGTAAGAAATATTTTCTCCCAGCTCATGGACCTGCCAGTGCCAGCCTTGCACGTGGAAGTAAGTATATGGTTCTGCTTTTGACTGGTGTCTCTATATCTTGAGAACAAACTTGAGGAGAAGCTTTTAATGTAAATACCATGATCTCTAACAACTGAAAAGACCCTCATTTCTATTATTTAGTATTTTCATAGTTAGAATTTGTTTCATCTTAATTTCAAATAGCCCATGCACTTGGTATCTTATAAAATTCTTGACCATTTTTAATTTCGACATAGAATCTACTTTATTTAGTTTTTTTAATCTGAGCTGTATTTAACTGAGATAACCGAGGTGATTCAGAAAAATGAAAGTTTCAAATAGGTGAAAAGACTTGCCTTAAGATCACAGCACTCAGATTTTCTTGAGGTGATTCCCAAAAAGTTTGGCACCAAAATTTTTAGTAAATTTCATTTTTTTTCATTTGTAGAACTAGACACTGACTGTATATTGCTTCAATGCCTGCAGATAATAAGATTGCATATAATAACATTGATATTGCTATTTTCCAGAATATATATGTAATATATGTATATATACTATACATTATATATTTATTCATATATATTTGTATGTATTTGTGTATTCATATGTAAAATATATATATTTATTTGTGAAAATACACACATACACACACACACACATACACACCTGAATTAAACTGTCTTGGTCCCTCCCCTCATAGAGTTAATAGTTTAGTGGGGAAGGAAAAAACCTCTCTCCCCAAGAAAAAGGGGAAAAGCAAAATTTTTACAAGTTATAATTAAGTGCTGGGAAGGAAATATACAAAGTGTTGCAACAGGGAAAGATTGGGGCCAACTTTGAATAAGGTGGTCAAAGGAGGTTTCTTGGAGGAAGTGACATGTAAGCAGGGACCCAAAAGAAGTGAGGGAGCCAGATTTAGGAAGAGTTAGGGTAGGGCTAAAGGGAGGTGGAGAAAGCTGCCCCCTGCAAAGACCCAGAAGTGTGTGAAGAATGGGAGAAAGGTCACTGTGGCCAGAGGGTAGTGGGAAAGGGAGAGTGGCATAAGATTAGGCTGGAGAGGTAGACAAGAGCCAGGTGACAGAGGGTCTTTTGGATCATGTTGGGAGTTTGAATTTTATATTCTAAGTGACTTGGTGAACCCTGGAAGTTTCTTAGTAAGTTCAATGTAGATTTAATAAGGTCACATAAACTGCTGTAGATATATTGGAGAAAAGAAAGAATGAAAACAAAGAGATCAGTTCAGAGGCAAGAAGCATGTAAAGATAATAGCCTGGACTAGGTAGCATCAGTGGAGATAGAAGTGTATGTATTTAAGATCTATTTGAGAGATTTAGCCTAATACTCTGGGTGGGAGTGGTGAGTTAAAAGGAAGAATCCAGATTAGCTCTTTGGTTTGTTTCCTGCATGAGATACTGGGTAGACAGTGGTACAAAATGTGTCTTACAGTATAAAAATGAGGAAGACTGTGGGAGACACAACTCTGTTGTGACCATGTTAAATTTGAGGTGCTTATAAGACATCCAAGTGGATATGCACCCTTTTAAACACTTGTATACATAATTGTGGATTTTGGAAGGGAAATCTGGGTAAACTTTTGAGATTTATTGGTATATAAATCACATTTAAAACCATTGAATGATCACCTATGCAGAGGGTGTGAGTCCTGGAAAGTGCCAATATTTAGAGGCTGGAGATAGGAGGAACAAAAAACGACATGAAAAGGAGCTGTCAGTGTGGTAGAAAGAGAACCAGGAGAGTGTGGTGTTACAGAAACTCAGAGGAGAATTCAAAACAGGGAGTGATCAAGTGTGTCAAAGGCCTCTGAGAGACCAAATAAGGACAGAAGAATGTCTATTGGATATGGTGTTAGAGATTTTGATAACCTTGTTAAGGGCAATTTTTGTTATGTGATATGTACAGAAACCGGATTGGAGTGGTTTCAAGAGTAAATGGAGGATGATGAGAAAGGGGAGACAGTAAGTGCCAACACCTTCTTGGAGAAATACAGCATTGAGGGGGTACATAGAAATGAGGTAGTAGCTAAAGAGACTGGTGGGGTAGGGAGGTCTTTTAAAAATTTTTCGCTGAATATAAATAACAATTTTATTCAATTACAGTTGGCATTCCATATTATATTAGTTTCAGGTGTACAGCATAATGGTTAGACATTTTTGTAACTTATAAAGTGATCCCCCTGATAAGTTTAGTACCCACCTGGCACCATACATAATTATTACAATATTATTTAATACTTTACAAACTATTATTTACTTTACATACCTGTGACTATTTTGTAACTACATTTGTACTTCTTAACACCTTCCCCTTTTTCACCCAGTCCTCCCAAACTCTTCTCATCTGGCAACCATTGATTTGCTCTTTGTATCTATGAGCCTCTTCCTATTTTGTTTATTTTCTTTTTCAGATTCCACACGTAAGTGAAATAATAGGGTAGTGAATGATTTTAGCTGCTCTTTTATTTATTTAAAAAATTTTTGTATTGTTTTTCAATTACACTTGTCTCTATTTTTCGCCCATTACTTTCCCCTGTCCTGCCCAACTCCCTCCCACATTCAATCCTCCCCGACCCCGTTGTCCTTCCCCATTGGTCATTTATACTTGTCCCTTGACTTGACCCTTCCCTTCTTTCCCCTGTTATCCTCCTCTCTCCTCTCCTCTCCTCTAGTTATCGTCAGTTCGTTCCTTATTTCCATGTCTCTGGCTCTATTTTCCTTGCTTGTTTATTTTGTTGATTAGGTTCCAATTATAGGTGAGAGGTTATGGTGTTTGTCTTTCACTGCCTGGCTTATTTCACTTAGCATAATACCCTCCAGTTACATCCATGCCATTGTGAACAGTAGGAGTTCCTTCTTTCTTTTTGCTACATAGTATTCCATTGTGTAAATGTACCACCGTTTTTTGATCCACTCATTTACTGATGGGCACTTAGGTTGCTTCCAGCACTTGGCTATTGTAAATTGTGCTGCTATGAACACTGGGGTGCATAGGTTCTTTTGTATTGGTGTTTCAGGATTCTTAGGGTATAATCTCAGCAGTGGGATTGCTGGGTCAAAAGGCAGTTCCATTTTCAGCTTTTTGAGGAAATTCCATACTGTTTTCCACAGTGGCTGCACCAGTCTGCATTCCCACCAACAGTTCACTGAGGTTCCCTTTTCTCTGCACCCTTGACAGCACTTCTTTGGTTGATTTATTTATGATGGCCATTCTGACTGATGTGAAGTGGTACCTCATTGTGGTTTTAGTTTGTGTCTCTCTGATGGGTAGTGATGCTGATCATCCTTTCCTATGTCTCTGGGCCCTCTGTATCTCCTCCTTGGAGAAGTATCTGTTCAGGTCCTTTGTCCATTTTTAATTGGATTGTTTGTCTTTCTGGAGTGGAGTTGTGTGAGTTCCTTATATATTATGGAGATCAAACCTTTGTCCGAGGTATCATTGGCAAATACATTTTCTCATATGGTTGGTTCCCTTTTCATTTTGCTGATGTTTTCTTTAGTCATGCAGAAGCTTTTTAATTTGATGTAGTCCTGTTTGTTTATTTTTTCCTTTATATCCCTTGATCTAGGGGACATATTGGTGAAAATATTGCTGCGTGTAACATCTGAGATTTTCCTGCCTATGTTCTCCTCTAGGACTTTCAAGGTGTCGCAACTTATATTTAAGTCCTTTATTCATGTCGTTTATTTTTGTGTATGGTGTAAGTTGGTGGTCAACTTTCATTATTTTGCATGTAGCTGTCCAGCTCTCCCAACACCATTTGTCAAAGAGATTATTTTTACTCCATTTTATGATTCTGCCCCATTTGTCAAATATTAATTGACCATAGAGACAGGGGTTTATATCTGGTCTCTCTATTCTGTTCCATTGATCTATGTGTCTATTCTTATGCCAGTACCATACTGTTTTGATTACAGTGGCCTTATAATATAATTTGATATCAGGTTTTGATCCCTCCTACTGTTCTTTTTTCTCAAAATTGTTGAGGCTATTCAGGGTCATTTATGTTTCCATACAAATTTTTGAAGTATTTGTCCTATATCTGTGAAATAGGTCATTGGATATTTTAATAGGGATTGCATTGAATCTATAAATTGCTTTGAGTAGTATGCACATTTTAAAAATTGCTTTTAATTAATTAATTATTTATTTTTAGACAGAGAGGAATTAGGGGAGAAAGAGAGGGAGAGTAACATCAATGTCTGGTTGCCTCTCACTTGCTCCCTACTGGGGACCTGGCCCGTAACCCAGACATGTGTCCTGATAGGGAATCGAACCAGTGACCCTTTGGTTCAGAGGCCAGCACTCAGTCCACGGAGCCACGCCAGCCAGGGCAGGCAATATGGACATTTTGATGTTAATTCTTCCAGTCTGTGAACACGGTATATGCTTCCATTTATTTGTGTCTTCCTTAATTTCTTTCTTCAGTGTTGTATAGTTTTCTATGCACCAGTCTTTTACCTCCTTGGTTAAATTTTTTCCTAGGTACTATATTTTTCTTGTTGCTATAGCAAAGGGTTTTTCCTCCCCTGATTTCTGTTTCTGTTATTGCATTGTTGGTGTACAAAAATGTCTTCGATTTCTGAATATTGACTTTGTATCCTGCTGTTTTGCCAAATTCACTTATTAGGTTGAGTAGTTTTTTGGTGGAGTCTAGGGGATTTTCCATGTACTCTATCATGTCATCTGCAAACAATGACAGTTTTGCTTCCTCCTTTCCAATTTGGGTGCCTTTTATTTCTTTTCTTTGTCTAATTGTCTGATCACTGTGGCTAGGACTTCCAGCACTATGTTGAATAGAAGCGGTGAAAGCAGACATCCTTTTCTTGTTCCTGGTCTTAGGGGAAAAGCTTTTAGTTTTTGCCCATTGAGTATGATGTTGGCTGTAGATTTCTTGTATATGGCCTTTATTATGTTCAGGTATGCTTCCTCAACGTCTACTTTCCTAAGTGTTTTTTTTTTTTTATCATAAATGGATACTGTACCATATCAAATGCTTTTTCAGCATCTATTGATATGATTATGTATTTTTTGTTTTTCCCTTTTTTTATCTGATATATTATGTTCATTGATTTGCATATATTGTACCATCCTTGCATCCCTGGGATGAATCCCACTTGATCATGATGGATGATCTTTTTAATGTATTGCTGGATGCAGTTTGTCAATATTTTTTTTTTTTGAGGATTTTAGTGTCTATGTTCATCAGCGATATTGGCCTGTAGTTTTCTTCCTTTGTTGTGTCTTTATTTGGTTTTGGGATTAGGATGATGTTGGCCTCATAAAGAGAGTTTGGAAGTCTTTTCTCCTTTTGGATTTTTTGAATAGTTTGAGAAGGATAGGGATTAGGTCTTCCTTAAGTGTTTTGTAAAATTCTCCTGTGAAACTGTCTAGTTCAGGGCTTTAATGCCAGGAGTTTTTTGATCACCGCTTCAATGTCACAAACTGTTATCGGTCTGTTCAGGTTTTCTGCTGCTCCTTCATTCAGTTTTTGAAGACTATATTGTTCTAGAAATTTGTCCATTTCACCCATGTTGTCAAATTTATTGGCATATAGTTTTTTACAGTAATTTCTTACAATCCTTTGTATTTCTGTCGTATCAGTTGTAATTTCTCCTATTTCTGATATTATTAATTTGGGTCCTCTCCCTTTTTTTCTTGATGAGTCTGCTTAAAGGCTTGTTGATTTTGTTTATCTTTTCAAAGAACCCGCTCCTGGATTTATTGATCCTCTGAACTGTTCTTTTAGTCTCTATGTCATTTAATTCTGCTTTGATCTTAATTATTTCCTTCCTTCTACTTGCACTGGGCTTTGTTGTTGTTCCTCCAGTTCTTGTAGATGTAGGGTTAGATTGTTCATTTGAAAATTTTCTTTCCTTTTTAGGTAGTCTTGTATTGCAATGAACTTCCCTCTCAGGACTGCCTTTGCCATAGCCCATAGGTTTTGGGCTGTTGTGTGTTCATTTTCATGTGTTTCCAGAAACTTTTTGATTTCTTCCTTGATCTCACTGTTAACCCATTCATTGTTTAATAACATGTTATTCAGTGTCCATGAATTTTACTCTTTTTGAGTTTTTTCTTTGAGGTAGGTTTCTAGTTTCAAGCCCTTGTGGTCCTAGAAAATGCTTGATATGATTTCAATTTTCCTGAATTTGTTGAGGCTGTTTTGTGTCCTATCATGTGGTTTATTTTTGAAAATGTTCCATGTTCATATGAAAAGAATATGTATTTTCCCTCTTTGTGGTGAAAAGTTCTGTATATATCAATTAAATCCATTTGATATGGGGTGTCGTTCAATGCCACAATATCCTTGTTGATGCTTTGTTTGGAAGATCTATCCACTCTTGACAGTGCGGTGTTAAAATCCCCTAATATAAGTGTGTTGCTGTCTATATCTTTCTTGAAGTCATCCAAGATTTTCCTTATATATTTGGGTGCTCCTATGTTTTATATATATATATTCAATGTTTGTATGTTCTTGGTGGATTCTTCCCTTCAGCGTTATGAAGTGACCTTCTGTGTCTCTTTTTATGGCCTTTGTTTTGAAATGTAATTTTGTCTGACATAAGTATTGCTACTCTGGCTTTTTTTTTCTGTCCATTTGCTTGGAATATGTTTTTCCCAACCCTTCACTTTCAGTCTGTGTAGCTCTTTTGTTCTGAGGTGAGTCCCTTGTAGGCAGATTTTTGCTGCTATTTTTAAAAAAATGCAAATTGACCAATCCTTTTCATTTTTGCTGAAAAGTACATATAAATGATGCTAACATAACCCAATTAAACAACTATTTTTGGAGGGAGGGCTTTTTTTGATAGATTTTTTAAAATATTATTTTTTTAATACATTTGTCTCTGCCTTCCCCCCACCCCTTTCCCCTGCCCCCTGCCCCCTCTCCCTCCCTCAGTCTTTCCCCACTTTGGCTTTGTCCATGATTCCTTGCTATATGTTCCTTGACTTGCCCCTTCCCTTCCTTTTCCCCCACCCACTCCTCTGGAGGGAGGGCTTTTTTAAAGGCAAATATTAGTACTGATTTGTATGGTAATGGGAAAGCTCCAACAAAGATGAAGAGTTCTGCCCTGACTGGTGTAACTTAGTGGGCTGGACATGATTCAGCGAAGTTAAAGGCTGCTGGTTCCATTTCCAGTCAGGGCACACGCTTGGGTTGCAGGCCCAGTCCCTGGTTGGGGCACATGCGAGAGGCAGCAGATCAATGTTTCTCTTTCACATGAATGTTTCTCTCTCTCTCTTTCTCTATCACTTTCCTTCTCTCTAAAATAAATAAATAACATCTTTTTAAAAAGATGAAGGTGGATGAGTATAGCTTCATGGGTGAAGTCAATGAGAATATTGAAGGGACATATGGAAGTGTTGACATTTGCTAGAAAGAGACGACATTCTACAGTTGCAATTATACAAAAGAAAAATAAGGA